GGCAAAATCCAGACCAGTGTTCACTCTTAATTTATAAGATTGGGGCCCTGCCATACACAGATACTGTAGATTTGGATTTAACACCTAAATGCGTCCTGGGTCTGGGATTTTGGCTTCTTACGGTTTACCCCTGGGCACAGTTCTGGGGCTTCTTTCTGGCTTCTCCAGCAACTCCCTTTGTGCTAGTGCACTGGTCACAGAACAGCGGAGCAGGAAAGTTCCAGGCTTATAGAGGAGGATCTGCTCAGACAGCCTGACAGGGGTGCCTCTCTGCCCCTCCTGGCCCCACATGCTATACCTTGCTCTCAATTCCCAGCACTGCTGTGGCACCACCTCCCCCTAACCTCTGTAGTTTTATTTCCCACTTCATTTCTGGCACCTGGAGCTCTCACTGCCTTTCTTTTAACCTTGGCAGTAAATTTCTTTCTCATTGTTGCTCTTTTATGCAGCATTTCTCTGCATTCTTAGTAAGAGGAATGCCTGTTTACTTTAGCTGAGGCTGTCATATGCTGGAAATTGTCATTTGTTCTGTATACAGACAGTCTTATTCCTGTTTTCAGCCTACTTTTCATTCTCGTCCTTCATAGTACCTGCCAAGGCTGCGTCTAAGCCCTGCCAACCTTCTTGGGAGTAGACAGGCCGCCTTCCCTCGTGTATTTGATAGAATTCGGTGTTTCCATTCTGTTCCTTCTATCATTACTCTTCTTTCTACTTTGCATGTACAGAATGTGCCCAAATCTTTCTGCTAATGCCCTAAGCATGTGCTTTTCACTGTTACGGTTTTAATCTGTTCTTTTTATTCTTCACTATTATTTCCATGAGGTCTCCAGAGTTTGAAGAGAACAATGCATTGACTCAGTCTACTGTCTTGAATGAAAGAGCTCAGTGCATTCTCAGTTGGCAGGGTTTTTTTGTTTTGTTTTGTTTTGGTCCTCAGCTTCCTTTGTCATTTCTGATACCTGCTATTCCCTCCCTCACTCCTAGCAGAGGACTTTAACTCTTTTCTCTTAGAGAAACATCCCATCTGATGGGAGCTCTTCTGTTTCCCATCCTCCTCCTCTTATCTGCAAACTCCCCTTTCTTACTGCCTATCCTCACCTCTTTTCCGTCCCAGAGCAAAAGCACCTTCTTGTCAGTCCTCCATTGATCAATTGCCTGTGTATGGGCTCTCCTCCCACCCCCATTGCTCTGCCTCTTCCCTGGGCAGCCTCATCTTCATGTAACATTCCTAAACTGTATGCCCAATTCTGCTCTGCTTCCCTTGGGTTCTATTTCTAATTGTTGACTGAATCACTTAGATACCCGCATGGTTTTCTCAAATTCAGCATGTCCAAAGCTAGCATCTTTATTTCTCTTTGAAAAATCTGCTCCTTCTTATGTTTTCGCCATTGTGCTGAGTGGCACCCTGATTCACTAAATCACACCAGCCACCAATTTGTGTTTGTGTGTGTGTGTGTGTGTGTGTTTAACTTCCTAGAATAGTTCTAGAACTGCACTGACCAATACAGTCATTACTGGCTACATCTATTTACATTTGAATTCAAATCGATTAAAATAGAATGCAGTTAAATATTTAGTTCCTTGGGTCTAGTAGGCACATTGCAAGTTCTCAGAAGTCACATGTGGCCAGTGCAGCTGTACAACATCAGCATTGGTACCAGAAGTTGTTGGGTAATGCTAGTCTAGGGTGTATTTTACCATTTTTGCTTCCATTGTGATGTTTGAACCTTATCTTTTTCTTGAACTGTCAGTACATCTCTTGACTTACCTCCTTTTTCTTGTTCATTTAGTTCACTCTCTTTTCTTTTTTAAAAAATGTTTGTTTTTGGGGCGCCTGAGTGGCTCAGTCAGTTAAGCGTCCTACTTTGGCTCAGGTCATGATCTCACAGTCCATGAGTTTGAGCCCCACATCAGGCTCTATGCTGACAGCTCAGAGCCTGGAGCCTGCTTCAGATTCTGTGTCTCTCTCTCTGCCCCTCCCCTACTCATGCTCTGTCTCTCTCTGTCTCAAAAATAAATAAAAACATTAAA